TCTCTCTCTCTCTTTCTCTCGCTCTCTCTCTCTCTCTCTCTCTCTCTCTCACTTTGCAATTCTCAAAACGTGGTGAAAGTTTAACATCCAAATGACTATTAATAATTCGCGGATATTTTATGCCTTCAAACCACTCAACACTTTGTGGTTTGAGTCCCGATATTTTGCTCAAAGAAGTTGGAGTGAATATATTTGGCACCCGTTCTCTAATGTACTCGTCCTTCACTCTGTCGACCACTCCGTCGGCCATTATTAGTGACACAATCCCTGAGAGCCAAGTGTTGCCCGATTTCTGGTAACCGCAGATCCATACGTCTGTCGGCCTAACGGTCAGGTTTTTTATGGCCAGCAACCAATCCAAACTGCGCCGGTTGTTAAAAAATAATTTACCATCGTGCATAAATATGCTGTTTGCATCCATTGTAGCCAAGTATTTGGCCCTTCGTTCAATTTGCTCGCTCGACATCTCTGCCATATTATTTTGCCTCACGTATAATCTATATAAAAATTTAATTAGTGATTAACTGATCATAATCATTTCACGCATATTTACCTAACAAATTCAAATCTTATTTACTGTTTAATTTCAAGCACTGATGTGTCAGCTAAATGAGAAAACAGATGCTTTCATATTAGTGGATAGTACATAATGGTGATTTAAAATGTACAAAAGACAATTGTCTAAAGTATTATATAATATATTTTACAATATTATTATTTGATTTAATGCACCATCATTTATTTGTGTATACCCAGCTACATTATAATTAACCACTTATTTTATATGTTATTTATATTATATGACAAGACTATATTTAAATATGCAAAATAACAATAATTTTTATTATTTTCTGTTTAAACCCTACTTTATAAAAAATTATAATTTATTTTTAACAATCAATTTTATTAAATTATTATTTGTATAAATTTATATTAAATTTTAATATATAATGTATATTTTACTGAATATTAAATAAATACAGCTAATGCACAGATAAATACAAATAAATTATTTGAAATAATGTACTCGTTTTTAAGTTATAATTAATAAACAATTTATTTCAAGTATTACCACTTAAACAAAGTTAAAGTACAATATTAATATTGAATCAATTCATAATGCCCAAAAATCGGAGCCAATGTTATACTTAATGCCGCCGTCGATGACTAAACTGTGACCCGTTATGAACGAGGCGTCCGATGAGGACAGGAATACCACCCCTTTGGCGACATCGGCTGTTGTGCCCACTCTTCCCAGTGGTGTATATTTGGCCGCGTTTTCAAAAGCTTTAATAACAACGGGATCGGGATGTGCTTCGTATGATCGCACTATTCCTATGCTGTTATTTGCATGTATTCATTAAAATTAGTTCATCATTTACCATATTGATTATTAAATCCATATATACCTAACACTATTAACCCGAATGCCGTGTGGGGCCAACTCTAATGCCAGTGTAGTTGTGCACATTTCCAGGGCTTGTCTCGCCAATTGATATCCCAAAAAGGATTTTTGCTAAATGTGTATAAAAAGTAAAAACATTTTTATTTAAATAAATGGTTAATTTGATGAACGCTTTACCGGTCGCTCCGTAAACACTGACGTAATGTTGACAACATTTCCTTTGCTTTGTTTAAGATATGGTTCAAAGAGTCGGATGAGAGTAAGCGATGCCTTGACGTCCACTTTCAGTGATCG